CTTCGACGGAGATAGACGGCTTCTCGGGACAAATGGCGACCATATTCGCCATAATTGGTGGGGTCGAAGATGACGATAGGTTTACGGCTAAGGTTTGTGGCAAAGAAACTCTAACGGTGTAGTAGGCGGTGACCACGACTGTATTCTTACAGTAAGGAGCAGTAACGATGCCTCGGATTGAAAGTCCTTTCCGGCCGTTGGCAGCGATTGCAAGATCCCAAACATTGAGTTCAAGCGAGCCTAATTTGGGTCCTGATAAACTTCTATGGAGAATCATCAACTGCTACTGACGGGGTTGGAAAGAAGAAGAAGAAGAAGAAAAACGAAATTGGAGGGAGAGGAGAGAGTTGATGTGATCCCATTAAATTCGCATTAGTCAAATATCATTCAAGCTGTCGGTCCTAGTATTTATGTAAATAAAAATGTCGTTTTTGCTAATTAGAATATATGAATTGTACATCTGCAATAAAAATGTACTAGTACGACACATGTGTACTACACGTGAACTCTATACATTATTATTTTATTTGAAATTCTCAAAAATTTCTTTGTATACAACATTGTTAGTTCTACTTAAAATTTATCAACTTGAAAAAATAAAAAAATATGATGAATGGGTTAAAATTTATCAACTTGGAAAAATAAGATTAGGGGTGATAATTAAGATAACGACTAAAATTGATGAGAATTAAAATAAGTGACGCATTTAGTTAAGATTGTGTTTAATTATATTATCAATATAATTATAATATATAATTTTAGTTCATCATTATTCATTATGCAAACAAAGTTAAAGACTCAATGGACTAAAATTTATCAACTGACAACAAATTAAGAAAAACACGACGAATGGGATAAATTCTTAATAAGAAAATAAAGATTTTTATGATCTTTAAATTCAAGATAAAATTAGTTTTTTATCCGAACTTAAATACAAACCATGATATTGTGACATTTACGGGATGCTTGGATATAATTTTTTTTTTAATTGGATTTTTTGGTTTGGTTTGGTTAATTTTTAAAAAGTGGTATGATTAATTTTTAGTGGTATATTAAAATAATATTTAAAATAAAATAATTAAAATTGATTTGATGAAAAGTAGGAGAGAGATGATTTGAAGTGATGGTTAGTTAAAATTATGTGAGTGACTGAATAGTGAATTAAAGTTAATGTTGTGTGTAAGAATGATTGATTGATATTATTTAATTATATTGATAATATTGATGATAGTGAGATTGAGTTAAAAAAATAGGTGAGTTAAAAATGTTAGGATTTTTTTGAAAATATTTATATCCAAGCATCCTCTTAAGATTCCAAAGGCGTGCGAACCTACCACTTAGACTCAACACCTTCTCAATTAATACATTAGGAGAATTAGGAGATTGAGTTGGTTGACTAGATAATTTTCTCTAGAGCTTTTGGATAAAATTTTAAAAACATGTTTGAGCCATGTGTTTTATTTATATTATAAAATGTTGAGAGAAATATTATATAATAAAATTTGAGTGTTGTTAAGTATCTATTTCTCTATTAATATCTACTATTTTCAATAATAATAATAATAATAATAATAATAATAATAATTTTTTATTATCATATTGCATCAGTGGAATTTGTGGAGAAAAAATGAGATGAAATACATATTATTAAATTTTTTTCTTTTAATATAAACCTGAATTGAAGGCTTGAAGCTTAAACTATCATGTTCTAATTAAAAAAAATCTCATGGGATCTCCCAGATCCACATTCTTATGCAGTTTGAAATTCTCCTCGGCTCCATCGATACCAATTGAGCTTGAACTTATGATGAATTTATCTTTTGATCTTTCTTCGTAAGTTATTGTTGAATAGCTGAAGTGTTGAAGTGCTCTCCTGGGCTATGGCGTGGAGAAAAAAAGGTGAGATTTTGAAGGTTTTCACGGGCATATATGCATGTGGGGTTTGTTATGTGTGATTTTAGTTTTACATGGAGAGAGTGGGTCGGTCTTCATGTGGGCTTGCTTTTATTTTGAAAAATTAATTTTGTTCGAGTTAATTTGTCAGCATCGACATTTCCTTGGGTATGTTTGCCTTGATTGTTTGATTATGTGTATGTAAGAACCGAGACCACGCGTCACTGATGGCTCTAGTGGTGTTAATCCCTCTATTTGGAAGAGAAACTTTGATTCTTGGGATCAAATGTTGCTATTTTCTTCCCCTGTTGTAAAGTTGTCTTAAAGCTAAAAATGGACTGAAGAACATTTTGATTATTGGGAGGCTTTCGTTTCTCCAGCGGTTGATTAAAAAAAAAAACGTAGTTATTTCTATTTAAGCAATGAGTTCTCGAGAAATGGAAGATGGGGTTTTGGTTGAAAAGAATGAAAATTTAGTTAGCATGAAATATAACCTGAGAAAAGACTGTTGAGTCTTAGGTCGGTTTAGTGTCTGTCTTATGTTCATTCAATTGGTTTTGGTGATCCGGCTATCTTAGCATAACATAGCAGGCTTGAGACTCCTGGCCACGTTATTTATGTCCTTTAAATTCTTGTTGTAGCTAGTAGATATAGAACCTTTCCTGAGTCTTTTATGTAGTTTGCTACCATTTGGACCAACTAACAAGATATTTGATGTTATCCAACTCTTAGTTTAATTCTGCGACAATGCTAAGATGCTATTATTACAATGTTGTGTGGTGTGCCTTTGGCTGTTCTTTTATCGGCAATGTTTTTTATTTAGTTCTGCAGATTAAAGCAGGAAAGTTTGAACTGAAGAAATTGCAGAATCTTAAAGTAACTAAGGAGCTAGTATTGGCATTGGATCCACTCCTTGAAGATGTCTATGCCAACCGACGTCCAAAACCAAAGGATTATGAAGTTCGAAGAGAATTGGTTTGCGTCTTTAATAAGATTGCCGAAGAAATTTATGGTGATCTTCTCAACTTGTTTGGTTCCTTTTTTTTCTTAGATGTCTCCTCTCCACGATGTTACATTTTTATTTTCTTGATGATATAATGCCATATGTATGCTACTTGTCTATAGACCTGGGTTTTTTACTACATTTATCTATTAGCTTCTAATTCAATATTTTCTAGTTTCTTGAAACAGGACAAAACGAATCTCCTCTTAGCAAGTATTTCTAAAAAATACTTGTTTATTTTTTAGTTCTTGCATTAAGTCTCTCTCTCTCTCTCTCTCTATATATATATATATATATATATATATATTTTTTTTTCCTGAAGTGTAGAATATGATCAATTTGGTCCCTTTTATTCTATTTTCTTTTTCAGGTCGCACAAAAAACATACCTGTGGTTGTGGAATTTGGTTCTTTTGTAATGGATCTTTTCAGCACCAGCAGTGATCTAGATCTCTCTGTGAACTTTAGAGGCACTAGCGATCCTTTTCCGCGTGAAAAAAAGATTCAGACTTTGAGAAAGTTTGCAAGAAAGCTATATGCTTTACAGAGTAAATAATTTTAGCATGACACTTTTTTGTTTATTATCTAGTGTAACTGGATATCCTATTACGTTACGAATTATGATATTGTCTATTCTTTTAACTGTTTAAATGTTTTTCATTCATTTTAGCGCTAAAAACTATGCACTCTTTTATTATATTTGATTAGTGATATTGCTTTTTTTTATAAAACAATTTTGAAACTTGACATAGTTACTCCTAACCTATGTCCAGTCGTCACAGAACACATGATAGGGCTGTTTCTGAATTTATTTAGTCAGAAGGCAAAATAGATAATATCAAAGGTCGAAATGAGTTTCCATAAAGGTTGCCCAACTATTATCATGTTAAACCATTTCTCATTTTTCTTGCTGGTTGTCTTTATTTTGTAGGCATATGTTGGATAATATGACAAAGGCAAAGTATGAGTGGTTTTTTATTGATATGGAATGCCAAGAAATGTATGAGTTCTCTTAGTTCGTAATACACTAATGCTAATACATGACGGTAGTGACGTTCTGGAGATATTCCGATATGAAAGGTTTTCCAACTCTTGTTCTACTTCCGGATTCTTAAAATGCTTCAATATCGAAATATTTCCTGCCTTTTCTCTTGATAGAAGTTAACTAATTCTCATGTTTGCCTTATTTCCTCCAAAAGAAAACGAAAACAGAACAAGTGAAGAGGAAGAATCTTGTTAAATATAGAAAATTATCTTGTAGTAAGTTTGTGTAACTGGTTGGCCGTGAAATATTAAATACTGTTTATCGGCAATGACATATGTTGCTATAATTACTAGAAGGAGTTTAATATTCCGCATGGGAGCCATCTTTTTCATTTACCTTTTGGATTTTGTTTTTCTGCAATTTTTCTATACTACTAAACCCAAGTTAATAATAATATATAGTTCTCATATATTCAATTGTTTTCCAATAGGTATAGGGCATGTTTATGGAGTTCTTCCAATTACCACTGCCAAAGTACCTATTCTCAAATGCGTCGACCGTGGGACTGGAGTTGAGTGTGATATATCAGTTGAAAATAGAGATGGTGTTTTGAAATCTGAGATTATTCACATTATCTCCTCCATTGATGAAAGGTTTCATAAACTTAGCTTTTTGGTAAAGTTTGCATCTCTTAGCTTCTCGTATGTTACTCCACAGAATCCGTTTCTGTTTTTTTCCTTGTTTATACTTAACTCCTGACTTCATTAATGATAGTTTGTCATCATTTTACAGTTGCAATGTGATTCG